GTACAGTCGTGACTCGTGAGTCAGAGCACGGCACGGCACCGTTGTAGCTGCATGTATGCGCGCTGCATTCGGCCCGGCCAAACCAACCAACCGCTAATCGGACTCGTGCTGTGTACGCGAGACCCCCACCATCTGCGCAAAGGGCAAGGGCTTGACTCAGCGAACAAAGGCAAAGCGAAGTGATAACAGCTGATACATGTGCAGAAGGGGGCACTTGGACATTTAAATACTCCAGCGCGTAAGCAACCAACTCTAGCTGCCGCGAGCAGCACCAAAGTGGGCTCAAACGAGATGAATCGCGCTCTGGGAAAGCAAGCGACACGGAGCGTTCAGGATGCTACTCAAGCCTGCCTCAGGCGCACAGTGGGGCCTATCTCGCCCATACAGACGAGGGCATTCTCGAGCGGGTCTGTGTCAAAGAAGCAATGCAAAGCTTTGTATGCCGGCTTGAGCCTCGCTTTTCTAAGTGGCGCTTTGGCTTCACAGACCCCCCCTCATTTTGAACTGGGCGGAAAGCGGCTGTTCGGTACCACATCAAGCATCTTTGCAGACGAGATCAAGTCGGCCAGCTCGAGCATACTTCGCCAAGCTTCTCCAGCTGCCGCACGGAGACCTCAGACTCACTTGGTCTTCCTCACGCTCGATCAGGCTGAGAGGGATGCGTGAGTCCCGAGTGTGCAAGCACGAGCATCGCGGCTTTTGTTGCAGGTGCACCCTGTGAGCCTCCTTTCTTATCTTGAAGCTCCTTCCCCCGACCAGATGGCAGCGGTGGATCGCATACTTTCGAAACGAAGGTTTTGACTGTCTACTGATTAATACGGCCGTCGAAGGCGGCGAAGCAGATCACAGCCGTTTGGGAGAGGGTGAGCAGAGCAGAGCCGATGCGAGACATTGTTGTGCCACCAGCTCATTAGACTTCTACCCATCTGCTGTTTTGCGCGTCGACAGAGCTCACCCAACAGCTGCGTCTCGCATCTCTACCCGTGCAGCCCATTGTGCTGGTCCAGAATCAAAGGGGCGCAGAGGTTGCATTCGAGCAGCTGTCGAGCGACCCCAGAGCCTCGGGTTTGATGATCGTTCTCTTCGACACGAGTGCGCAAGAATCGTCTCTGAGGACCGTTTCAGACAGAGCCAAAGAGGTCAAGCTGCCGTCAAAGCTAAGGTGGACTCTTATCAGTGCCAGCGAGGCTGATGCGATCAAGCAAGCAGAGAAGTGGATCAGAGATCAAGGGTTCTCGTAGAGCAAATCATGGCGTTCGAAGGCGCACCTCAGATAATTCTACAATCTGAGCGTTGCCGACTCAATGCATGGTATTGTATCTAGCAGCGGTGCCGCGTGCAGGGCAACAGAATCACTGAAGAGCTACTTGAAGTCACCCCAGATGTCTGAGAATGCGTCCTTCTTTTGTGCCGCAGCTCCGCTTGTAGATGGCGCAGCAGTGCTATTGCTGCTTACAGTGCTGCCCCAAATGTCGTTGCTACTGGAGCCAAAGGTGTTGTTGGACTGTGCAGCGGCGGGAGGTGAAGCCCACGGATTTGACGCGCCGGCAGCAGGGGCAGGTGCGGGCGTGCCCCCCATCGACAAACCTCCAAACGCATCCAATCCTCCGAATGCCGACTGATTGCCCGCGTTCTGTACCGGCGGAGATGTCGCTACGGGAGGTTTCTGAGCGAAGAGGGACAGAATATCACTCTTGCCCCTAGCACCACCGACTGTGGGTGAGGTGGGGCTGGTCGTCGACGTAGCAGCAGAGTCACTCCAATCCAGATCGAAAAGACCGCCGCCACCTCCCGTTGCTGGCTTTGGCGGTGCAGGCGCTGGCTGCGCGGCACTCGCAGAGACAGGCGCGGGGGTTGATGCCGCACGAGGGGCAGCCGCAGGTACTTCGGCTGGGTCAGACAGCAGATCGATAGCCGGTCCCGGTGCCGCTCTCGCGGGTTTGGGCGACGTGCTAGAGCCAGCAGCGGGGGCAGTAGCCTGACCATTTGCATCGGTATCATCATTAGTCTGTGTTCTCCGGCAGAAGCCTCGGATATGGGTGGACTGCCACAAAAGACTCACCGGCGCTGAGGCTGGTGCAGCACCACCTTCATCAAGCACACTAGGGTCGGAGGGGGGTGCTCCTTCTTTAGCCCATCTCCGTGTCTCGTACTGGAGAAGGCCAGAGCTGTGGTAAGCCGCCGTGCTTCCGCATGGCAGTGTGACGACTAGTCGAGCATCGAGCGTGCTCACCTTGCTTCTGATAAAGCTCTCAATTTTGTGATCAGGAGGCACGTGGCCAGCCTTCAAATGCGCTTCCCAGTATGCATTCGCTCGTTTATTACCCCACTTCTGGATCGAGGCCATCTGTTCCGGCGTCCAGATATCCAGGTCGATGGATTTGACTGGTTTGGCGAGATGAGTGCACAGAGTGGGCAATCCGGCTCGTTCGATTGTCAGGTGAGGACTTGCCCGCTGCTCACCTTTTGAGATGTGCGTTCCCATGCTGCGATGAATGCCTGAGCATCGGATGCACAGAAAGCAGCCTCTGTGGATGTATGATGCAGATCTTGGATGAGCTGGTGCGCAACGCGACCAAGGGTAGCCGCGCCCTCCTAGTGCGTCTAGGACTGTACGACGCACAAATTCCAAGATGCCCATCGCGGATCTTCAGGTCGAGCGCATGAAGGACCGTTGCTTCGATCAGCCAAAAGCACGAATCAATGGGCCTTTCAGAAGCCGAGAAGGACGTACCGTTCTTCTTGCAGTCCACGCAGCTCTTGTTGTCGGGCTGCTTGACCATCGCCCTGAGCGTCCGAGCGTTGGCCTCATTTTGGGCCTTGTAGGTGATTCAAAAGGTGAGGAGTAGACCACGCGCGCACATAAGAACAGTGTGAGCCGTCATTGCGAGCGCAATACTGCTCCATGATCGCAGCTCACTTTCGACTGTACTGGTCTAGACATTGCGCTTCGCCTCAAGCTTCAAATTCGATGATCGGCTAGCGACCAGCGACGCCTACCTGTCAGAAAAGCGTCGGGTAAGACCGGTGTAAGGAAGTCGTGTGGAAGTGATGAGCTTGTCGAAACGTGTAGCCAATCGGTCTGGCGATATACAAATGGTCTGCACGTTGCAGTGGTCATGCTGCGTGATGGTGTTGCGCCAGACGAGCCTGCCGAGCCTGGCCTCCAGGAGCTCACCAGCAGCTGTCGTGCGCGGGGAAGTATCTTTCGTGCGAGAGGAGTCTTCTCGCTGTCGTGCGCCCACCACCGCGGCTGGGGCGCGTGATCTTGCATACATCAGCACCATGCAGGCGCTGATGATGGGCGGCAGCCAGACGAGTGCATGATGAAGGACTTGTGATGGATCGAGGAGGCATCGCTCGACTTTCCCTGGAATGTATGCGCGCACATTTTGAAGACACATTGACGCTCAAGTACCATCATCCCCTTCAACTTTGATAGTGAAAGTTGGGCTTTCACGTCATTTCTACCGCAGCATCTTTGTTCTCTTCTGACGCTCATCTTCGGAGCCTCATCAACCCTCTCTTCAACCTTACGTGCTAGCACTGAACGCCAGCCCGACAAAGCGTTCATGACCTCGACTCCTTCCGGTACCGGGACACCCCCTCCAACGGCACAAGGAGGTCAGGCGAAAGCTGAAAAACCGACTTTAAGCGGCACGCGTATCAAACAAAGAAAAGGTGTCGTCAAGAGTCAGGCCAAATTTGAGCCCGAAGGTGAGTTTGGCACGAGGGCGAAGTGCTCGAGGAAGTCTGTGCAAAAACAAAAGCACGGCGACGACAACTCCTCCCTGGCGGTCCGAGTACGTCAATTCGCAATTTGTATCGCAGAGCGCGCCCAACGCCTAGAACGAGAACGCGCTTCTCCACCCTCCTTTCGGCCTGATTCATTCCAGACTCGGCGTTGACTTTGACTCTGACTTTCTTCCCACCCTCCAAAGCATTCCGCGACGCCCTTTACAAGTACTTTGATGGTGTCGCCGCTACCGACGATTGGGATGGCTATGCTGCTGCCCTAGACAAGGCGGGCAACACCCTCGACTATCGCAAGTGAGTGGCTCTGATGCGTGCCTCGACCTCAACGCGGTGCAAAGCTCTGATATGTCTGCTGTTCAATTCCTCACTATTACAGGTATAGCGATCAGTTGTTCGAGATCTTGATTGCGTGAGTAGGCGCTGTGCGAGCCTTTCGGCAGCTGCTGGAGGCCGATACTGTGGCGCAGCTTTCGCTGACGTTGCATGTGTGCATCTTCACCCCACAGTGGTAACCTGCTCGCTCCTGGCGGTAGCCCTCTTGACGATGCGCCAAGCAGCCCTTTCAGCGTCTTCGCTGCGAAGAGTGGATCGCCAGCTGATGTGAAGCCCATCATCACCACGCTTGACAAGGTCATTCGTAGGTACAAATTTTTGCAGAAGCCCTTGGACGAGCACTCGATCAAGTATTTGCTTCAGTACATTGGTCGCTTCGATGCTGGTCAGCGCGAACGTTTGGCTACGGCCACTGCCTTCCTCATTCAGATGAGCTTAGTGTCGGCCAGCTGCCTTCTGGTGTTGCAGAAGGACAACTTGACCAAAGATGAAGTAGCTTTGAATTTCATCATGAATGTCTTCAAGGCTTACTTGGCAGAAGGCAGCATCGATACTCTCAGTACCAGCCTGCGCAAGGGGCGGGTCACCGACGTCCTGCCTTTCTTTCCTCAGACGAAGCGCTCTCAGGCCAATATCGTCACTAGCACCTTCAGCTCTGCTGGTCTCACTGGTGTTGCTAACTTCTATGCCAAGCTGGCAGCCCGAGACGCTCGTGAGGCGGTCATCCGTCGCCTACACGAGCTGCGCGAGAATTTGGACGTTGTGCAAGAGCCTGTCGACGGTGCTGCCGAGGAGTCCAATCCTCGTGTGGATGAGATCGTCGACTACTTGAACGAGAGCGGTCTTCCTGCCGAGGAACGTATCGCCACGGCGTGGGAAGGTCTTATGAAAGATCAAGACCCCAACTTTGTCAAGGTGAGTCGAGTGACCTTCATCAGCTTCGTTGGTATTTTTGCTCAATCGGGCCGTTTCGTCCTCCTCGCCTTCAGCACGTCACACCAGTCTTTGCTGCTATCGTCAAGGGCCCTCGCAACGAACTCGCCTTGATTAATGCAGCTCAGACTCATGTCAGTGCGCTGGGTGACCAGGCCAGCATGAAGACCTTCCCTGGCTTCTTGAAGGTACGTCAAATCTTCACGCGCATTTTGCATCGTCGTCAGAGCATTGGCTTCGGCACCGCTGACCAGCACCTCTCATTCCAATTTTCACCATCAGCTATGGTACAACGAAGACGTCGTGAGCGACTCGGCAAGTGAGTCTTGTTCTCAGAGAATCAATCGCCCAGCTACTGTGAAGAGACTCATCGCTTAGCTATCCTTGCCTGCCACAGTCATCTTCTGGCACACCAAAGGCCACAAAACAACCCAAGGCTATCAAGCCGTGCTGCAAGTCGCTGCGCCTCTGGTCAAGGTGGGTACAACCCATCGTCGAGAAAATGTTTGCGCGTCTTTTGCTGATGCTTCCAATGCGTGTCCGCCCTTGCTTTCTGTAGTATCTCCAAGAACAGGAGGAGGAGGATGGCTAGGAGCGACCCTTTCGCTCTCTCTCTGCTCTGACGGCTCAGCATCCCAAGATGCTTTGAGCCTGGCCGCCAAGTGAAATGAAAGTGGCTATTCAAAGCAGAGTTGGCCTTTCCCTGAAATTCCCACGCGTGTGCCAATCGAAGTGCGAAGCAAACCGCGAAATCGTCGAGCAGATGAATTTATCGCAGCGCAATGACTTTGAAAATTCTCGAAAGGAGGTTTACATTACAACAACGAGCAATTGATGCGTGGGCAGTAAGCATTGAATGTGCGCGCGGCCAGCGACGATGCGAAAACGACTACGAGCGCGGGGAGACGGGTGCGTCCCTGATGCCCAGCTCAGGCATCTTTCTGCGCTTTTCTTCTCTGCGCAAAGCCTTTTGGCAAGAAGCCAGGCGCATCCACTTCGCCTCGCTCGATTGCGTTCAATTGCTTTATCATCTGGGGCATCCGGACAGGCGACAGTGCGTCAGCTCATTCACGAATCAAGGCCCATGCTCGTAAAGCATCATTGAGCCTCCACTGCCCGAGACGAGCCACTCACATCGTAGTTGACCTTGGCGCTAACAACAGAGTCTTTCTTGTACTCGGGATGCGTCCTCACAAAATTTCTGATCCACGTTGCTGCAGTGATAAGCTCTCCGCTGGCTCGCTTCGATACCAGGTCAAGATAGATGCCTAGTTCGCACCGGGTCTCGACGTCCATTGTGAGCGAGTCGAGGTAATTGTAAACCAGCGTGATCAGACCCGGGAAGGAGCCGTCCTGTGAACAATTTTGCCCAGGTAATGTGGACGCCGCAGCGAAGAAGGAATAACATCAATCAGATTGCGGGTTGAGATACGCACCTTGAAGTGTGGCTCACCTTTCCATTCATGAGCTCATTGAGCGTAAATTCATCGTACTCTTCTTCGACCGGAGTAGGCTCAGGACTTGCAGCGCGAGAGGAAGTGGAGGTCCGTGGGAAGGGACTCTTGACGCCATTCGACGCCGCTGCTCCGTTGGCCGACGAAGTGGCGCCTCTGTTTGGACTTGGTGCTCTGCTTCCTCTTGGCGTCCCTCTACCACCTCTACCGCTTACCGAAGAGTCCCGCGCATGATGTCTCGGCTTTGACCTGAATACCTCTTTTCGGAAGTAGAACTTTTGCGTATTGACAGCGTCCCGAATGTGGGCGCGCTTCATGTTCACATCCACCTTGCTGATAGGCATATAGAAGTTGAGGTGGAAGCTCAATATGGCTCGGGTAAGGAGCACGATGAAAATGCTGAAAGCTGCATTCTCAAAATCGGTCACTTGCACCTCCATGGATCTGAATTCTACTCTCCATCCAATCTGACCACCAGGTGGCGGAGGCTTGAATCTCATCGTCTGCCAATTTGTGGATTGAATGTTTTCAAAATGATCCATGGACTGATGATCGTCAAGATCGACCATCTCGCTGAAGATGACGAGGGGGTCTCGAATGAACAGATGGGCCAGATGCGTAGCGAGGAGAGGGTCGATGCCGGCCTTTTCGAGACGAGTCTTGACCTTCTCATCGACTGGCAAAGGATTGTCATTGTACTCTGGCCGATTGGCAGGATCTTGCGAGATGTAGCTGTCCACTGAGTCGTATCTACATCGTAGAAGGGCAAGAGGAGCGCTAAATGCAATGCACTCATGTGCCTTTGGCAGCCAGCGCTGGAGCGCACCTCGATTTCAGGACTCACCTACTCTTCTGCATCAGCATTCTGCTTTCCTTCAGTGGCTCCAGCCCTCGCTCTTCTCTCGTGCGGTCATCCACTGCGGCGGAGATGACGTTCCATCGACAATCGACATTTGCTAGGTATCCTCTGTATGCAGGACTGGCAGCCGTCAAGGCCAGTAACAGTGGTCCGACGGGGACGAGTTGGTCGTACACTGTCCGAGCTTCTTGCACGCTACAAGCTTGGAATGTGACTTGCAAGCAACAGCAGCCCATGCCGAACCCCATTGCATCCATGTATATGTGATCGGGCAGCGCTGCGCCCGCCCTTGCTTCCTTGTCCTCTGGAAACAGCTGTCTGTCCCATGGGATGCTCGGATCGACAAAGGGTCGGGGAGTGAGCTCATCGTGAAAGATGGGCATGTTGATGGCAACCTTTGCACCTCTCCTCTGTCTGATGTTTGCTGTCAAGGTCGGGAAACGCGCATGAGGATTGATGACTTCATCGGGCAAGAAGAGGCTACGACTGGCCGATCCGTTCGCTTCCAGAGGCGGGTCTGTGAAGGGCCTGTCCGTCACACCCAGCCTGGGAAAGGACGTGAGCGTAACAGGAAGCTCGTGAGGGAGCAAGTGGGACCTGGCGATGCGACGCCTCAGCCGCATGTTGGCCTCGACGGTCCTCAAATCCCGGGGTGTGACGCCATAAGGAGCTCCAGGCGTGCTCTCGAGCATGAAGCGTCCGTATTCGGGATGAAAGGTCGGCACGTGTCCACCTGCTGCTGCGTCCCCGGGCAGCTTGTTGGCAGCGTCGGCATGGGATTCAGCCAGCACTTTGAGGATCTCTGCTTGTCTCAGGGACAATCGGGCATCCGCTTGCTCGTCGTCGAAAGAGACGACAATGTATTCGATCTCGTCGCCCCACAGCAAGCCATCACCCCTCCTATCCTTGATCTGCTCCCACAGATGGAGAAACTGCGTGATGCCATGCTCTCGCACGTGCTCTGCCAGCGGCTTGGTGTCGGGCCATGAGAGCGGCGTGCCGAGGGATAGCAGACCCATGGCTGTCGGTATCGGAAGTGACCTTTGCGGGCGGAAGGAAAGGAAGAGAAGAAGCGATGTCGAAGAGGATTAGATGACGGGTTCTTCCGAGCACAAGCTGCTTAGCGCGAATGCGGATGGGTCTCGTGACTTGACGAAGACCGGCCTCTTGCACTTTGCCGACGCGACGCGACCAGCAAGGGGAATGGCGTGATTGAGAGTTAAGGATGAGGAAGGGCGTGTCCGCGAGAGCTGAGCTGAGCTGGGTAAGGTGAATCTATGCGAAGAATCTCGACCGAAATGTTGAGCTGCCACGCACCCAATCGGAGCAGTGGTCGCCAGATGTTGTCATAAGTACCGCGATGTGTGTTAAGGGCGATGGACGCTGCGCATACACCTGGACCCTTCGTCAACGTCAAGGAGCGA